TGGGGAATTCTGGGAGTTGAAGTCCACACCTCTTCAAGCTGCCAAGGTTGAGAAACACTGTTCTAGGCTAAGCCCTGCTGCAAATACAAATTACACCACAGCACTGAACTGAGACCTGAACTTTGCTTGCTGTTTTGCACTAACAGGGCTCCTCTTCTGGAAAGAGCCGGAAGTGGAAAGTTAGGAGGCACAGAGTGCCTTAATTAGGCGATTCCTGATCTCTAAATCTGTTTTCCTACCATGCCATCGCCTCCAACCTAATTCCCCCAAGATTCCACTCACCCGAATCCTGTTAGCGGAAGAATTCTGTGGCATTCGAAACTTGCTACTCTATCAGCACGGCAGAGCTCCTGGAAATACCCATGTCATGCCAACGCGGATCTCATGTTTTCCACTCAACGAATCGTTACCTAGACATGTTCCTTGCAAACCTTTCATGTATGTATGTATGTATGTATGTATGTATGTAACGCAAGGATCTGGGAAGGTTCAGCTCTTTGCAAGGGGTAAGTGAACAAATGCACCAATACGGCAGCCGTCGGCTCGCTTCTCTCGCCTGTGTCATCCCACACAACCCACAGGGCGACCGCGAGGAGCATCTGGCACATCTCACCACCCGCCGCTCAGTGTCAGCTGAAATCGGGTATCGTGGAATTCCAAGGGGAGAAGGGGAGAGAGAAAAATGGGAAGAACAAAGCGGTCGCAAAATACTTACGCCCAAACGTCTGCTCCTAATCTTGACATACCCTTGCTTTACTATATCATTAAAATTGGAAGCCATCCCGGGTTGCAGCGGACGTAGGCGGTCGGAGCAAAGTTGCAAACGCAACCCAGTTTATAGCGCTGGCTGGCTGGCTTGGCTTCTCTCTTGGCTGCCGTTTGAACTCCCCCCACCCCAAAATCGATCCGTCTTTGGGATAAATCCTCCAATCCTGACCCAGAAACTCGCCGGCCAGTACGACTGGTGTCCTTCTCCCTCTCTCTCTGTGAGAAGGGAAGCTCGAACTCGGCGGAGGTCGCAGCTGACTGGTTTGCGGAATGAGAGGAGAGAATCAGCCCAGATTCTTTTCCTCCTCCCCCCTTCCCATTTCTTTCCTGACTTCCCTAGTAGGGAGTGAGTTGATTCCCCCGCTTGCTTCCTGGGGGCAGTTTGGGTGCGGGAACAACTTTCTCCCCCTATTCCACCTAACTTTTGATAGGGCAGAAGCAACATCCACAGCTAGAGAGGAGGAAGAAGAGGGCGACGATCTTACAGTGTGAAGGAAGGAAGAGTGGGGATCTCATTTCAATATCATTAAGCTTCCACTCCAGCATCTTTACTCAATGCCAAGAAGGAACTACTTTGATGATAAGAATAAGAATTGGCCAAGTTTCCCCAAGCTGATGCTCTTCAGCTGCGAGCAAAAACTCTCAAGAGAATTGTAGTTCAACGCATCTAGAGGTGAGAGGGTGGAATAAATAAATGTGTCCCCAGAAGGTGTGGAGTGCATTTCCCAGAGGCTATGGGAGTGGGTAGCTATAATAAATTTAAATTAATAATAATAAAAGTAATAATAATTTCCTCCATTATGAGCTACTCAGAGTTTTTCAAGACTTCAACATTATCCCCTACATATATTTAGTGGACTTTGAAGAAGCAGGATAGAAAGAGTATTGATGCTTTTGAACTTTGGCATTGGAGAAGACCTGAAAATACCATGGATAGCCAAAGACACAAACAAATGGATCATTGAACAAATCAACCCAGAATTCTCACTCAAGGCACAAATGACCAGGCTCAAATTATCCTACTTT